TCTCTTCCTTTAGGCACAGAAATGTTCTGTCCACCGGAGTTTGATGTTGACGCAAGGTACCACGCAAAGCCGGCGACAGTTTGGTCATTAGGGTCCCTGCTGTTCGTGATGTTGTACGGGTATTATCCAGATGACAAAGACATGCACAGGCTCAGTAAGAAGGACTGGTAAGAACCTGACCTGTCACAAGGTGAGATCTTCATCAAAGAACAAAGTTGGACAATTTGAATCAATCTAAATATGAAAGTATGCAATTTGAAATCTAAATATAAAAGGTGTAACATATAAGGAAATAATCAGACATCTCTCTCATCTGTTTGAACAGAATGCTGCCAGATGATCTGTGATTGTCTGCAGCCTGAGCCGCAGCGGAGACTTATCCTGGAGGAGATGCAGCTCCATGACTGGTTTATGGTAAGATTAGAGTCTAAGATTTGCTAAATGTTTGTTCATATAATCCGTCACATTTGCTCTACATGTAATATATTTAGATAAATAACAGTTAATTATGTTAAGGTTTTGTTTCAGGTCATGGAGTAAGACATGGAGAGCAACAAAAACAACTCCCTGTCACAGCCACTCTGTTGTTTTCTATCTTTGGTCAGCTTTGCGTCTGGCAGGCTGACATGAGTGGTCTTTCCATCTCTCCGCTTTGGCCTTGTGTCTTGCATCATAGCCTGGCACCTTGAAGCGGCATTATTTAGATATTTGTATTAAGTATTAATATATTTGTGTTTGTGTTAAGATATTTATAAGGAATTTTATAAGAAAATGTGTACTTTTTGTAAGTATATTAATAGCATAATAGTAGAATAAATATATTAATAGAATTATAATATAATATAATATTAAGTATTAAAGATATTTGTATTAAGATATGTACGCACTATGTGTTATATTAGCAGAGAGTGACTGTAAATTGGACATTTCTTGTAGAAATGCATTAAATATTCAAATCTCTTCCTTTAGGCACAGAAATGTTCTGTCCACCGGAGTTTGATGTTGACGCAAGGTACCACGCAAAGCCGGCGACAGTTTGGTCATTAGGGTCCCTGCTGTTCGTGATGTTGTACGGGTATTATCCAGATGACAAAGACATGCACAGGCTCAGTAAGAAGGACTGGTAAGAACCTGACCTGTCACAAGGTGAGATCTTCATCAAAGAACAAAGTTGGACAATTTGAATCAATCTAAATATGAAAGTATGCAATTTGAAATCTAAATATAAAAGGTGTAACATATAAGGAAATAATCAGACATCTCTCTCATCTGTTTGAACAGAATGCTGCCAGATGATCTGTGATTGTCTGCAGCCTGAGCCGCAGCGGAGACTTATCCTGGAGGAGATGCAGCTCCATGACTGGTTTATGGTAAGATTAGAGTCTAAGATTTGCTAAATGTTTGTTCATATAATCCGTCACATTTGCTCTACATGTAATATATTTAGATAAATAACAGTTAATTATGTTAAGGTTTTGTTTCAGGTCATGGAGTAAGACATGGAGAGCAACAAACAACTCCCTGTCACAGCCACTCTGTTGTTTTCTATCTTTGGTCAGCTTTGCGTCTGGCAGGCTGACATGAGTGGTCTTTCCATCTCTCCGCTTTGGCCTTGTGTCTTGCATCATAGCCTGGCACCTTGAAGCGGCATTATTTAGATATTTATATTAAGTATTAAGAGAAGGGTCTCCAAATTTGGAATAACTGATCCCTTTTATGATCTTGAATGACTGTTTTCTCTTTAATTGTCTGGATTTGAAGATGGATTTGTCTCCACAATGCATATTTTTGATGTATGTATTAAGTTCTAAAGGAGCTGAACTGGACCAGAGAAGGTTTGCCTCAAAGAAGATGTAGATGAACCCAGTGATGAAAACTCTCGGCCGGCTCTGACTCTCTCTCGTTCTCCTTCTCTCTTGTCCTCAATCTCCATTCATCTCCATCACCTTTTCTGTGAGGATTTCCCGGAAAGTCGAAAGCTGCTTCATCTGCTCTGTCTGCATCGAGTGTCGTCTCATCAGTTTCTTCTTCATCTTGAAATCTGGTCCACGTTTTGGGGACGATGGCGCAACCGGCAGCAGGATCTTACTACCTGAGTGAACGGGAGAAGTGGGCTTTCCGTTGGCTCGGATATCAGGAATGGGTCGCTGAGGGTTGATGTTGAGAGGAGGAAGGAACCCAGGTCTTGTGTGGGAGATGTGGTCAAAAAGGAGAGTGCCTGATCCCCGCCGTTCCAACAGTCCTGTTAGAAGAACAGCTGGAGCAGGACGTCCTCCAACTTCAGGACATCCACACTCCAGTTAGTTTGACTGAAGAGGACAAGGCAGAAGAGCTGGACAAGGGTAAGATTACTGCCATAATCTAAAACAATGCACACATTCTCACATTCTCAGTTTTTCAAAATGAAGAACCACTCTAATTTGAGTATGCAATATTTCATTCATATTATTTATGTGATTTGATTCATATTATTGGTATTCTCCTCTTTAAATTTTAAATGTACTGCCTTAATCCAGTTCTCACTTTTCCAATTAAACAAATCGATTTACATTGTTTGGAGATGTTTATTTATTTATATTTTTGTCCAACTTCGGGTGCGGCACGCTCATGAAGGACTCCACCTACATGGCCTTCAATAGTATGTTTTATGATTTGCTAGCAGGTTATTTAGCTCACTGAACACATTCTGCTTGTAGAAATGCATTAAATATTCAAATCTCTTCCTTTAGGCACAGAAATGTTCTGTCCACCGGAGTTTGATGTTGACGCAAGGTACCACGCAAAGCCGGCGACAGTTTGGTCATTAGGGTCCCTGCTGTTCGTGATGTTGTACGGGTATTATCCAGATGACAAAGACATGCACAGGCTCAGTAAGAAGGACTGGTAAGAACCTGACCTGTCACAAGGTGAGATCTTCATCAAAGAACAAAGTTGGACAATTTGAATCAATCTAAATATGAAAGTATGCAATTTGAAATCTAAATATAAAAGGTGTAACATATAAGGAAATAATCAGACATCTCTCTCATCTGTTTGAACAGAATGCTGCCAGATGATCTGTGATTGTCTGCAGCCTGAGCCGCAGCGGAGACTTATCCTGGAGGAGATGCAGCTCCATGACTGGTTTATGGTAAGATTAGAGTCTAAGATTTGCTAAATGTTTGTTCATATAATCCGTCACATTTGCTCTACATGTAATATATTTAGATAAATAACAGTTAATTATGTTAAGGTTTTGTTTCAGGTCATGGAGTAAGACATGGAGAGCAACAAAAACAACTCCCTGTCACAGCCACTCTGTTGTTTTCTATCTTTGGTCAGCTTTGCGTCTGGCAGGCTGACATGAGTGGTCTTTCCATCTCTCCGCTTTGGCCTTGTGTCTTGCATCATAGCCTGGCACCTTGAAGCGGCATTATTTAGATATTTGTATTAAGTATTAATATATTTGTGTTTGTGTTAAGATATTTATAAGGAATTTTATAAGAAAATGTGTACTTTTTGTAAGTATATTAATAGCATAATAGTAGAATAAATATATTAATAGAATTATAATATAATATAATATTAAGTATTAAAGATATTTGTATTAAGATATGTACGCACTATGTGTTATATTAGCAGAGAGTGACTGTAAATTGGACATTTTTCTTTCTCCTAACTGCTGTAATCAATCTCTGTATCTATATATTAAAAAATAAATAAAATAAAATCAACAAAACGTTTGGTGTGACAAAAAGACTTCCATTCACCACTACACACTCATCCATGACGTCCAGTGCACACAAATACTCTTAAACAATAAAATTGTTCACTTCACATAAAAACAAATCCCATGTTAGCCCGATAGAATTTGTGATTTAACTGTACCAAGATTTCTAAAGCACATTTAGCCTAATGTGTATATGTTCAATTGACAACACATACATTGTGCACGTAGCATACGATTTAAGTCGACTGAACATGTAGTTTTTATGTAGTCATTTCTGTACTCAATAAAATTCTTTGTTCATTTTATATAGAGAAACAACATAGACCAAAACGAACATCATTCCCAAGACAAAAATTCACCCTCATAAGTGAGTATTGAGCGCCAAACTTATTCTGATTCTGGTACTCATTTAGCACAATTTAGCATAATTTTTCTTTCCTGTCCGCAACCGTATTAGAACAAACCTTAAACATACCACTTGAGAACCACAGATTTAAGATAAATTGGTGATTCAGTCTTGCATTTATTCAAAGCAGATAAAAGCTCTTGAAGAAAATGATCGCCTCAGAGAAGTAGCACAACAGGGATTTTTTTAGTTTTAAATAATTTAATACTTTTTAAAATGATTTGGTTTACTACATTTGACCTGTGTATCACACTAAACATACCAAATAACAAGAAATAGTTCATCCATAATCCATTAAATGATGCATTGATAGTGTAACTGTAACCCTTCTATGTGAATGGAGAGCAGAACAGAGACGTTAGTGTAGGCTCAAACTACCCAACGACAGAATAGCACAGATGGAGGTCCATTGTGTACAGCACCTAAAACACCCTTTACACTATTAACATCTTTTCAGGTACACTTGAACACAATTCCAACTCATTTAAATGGATGTTTTTGTACAGCAGGTCAGAAATAATGGAGATATTTAGATACAAACATTTAGAAACAAATCAAACTCCCAGTTATCTCGCTTGTGTGTTAAATGAAAAGAGGAGAATCGCTGAAATCAATGAATACACAGCAAAGTGCCAAGATTCTCGTAATCGCATCAGGATAACAAAGAGCTAAGTAGACAGAGATCTGGATTTCAGTCCGTCGGTTTAACAGGAGCCGGTTGGGTTTTATCGCGATCGTTTTCAGGAAGATTGCTGTAACCATTGAGCTCCGGCTGCTCATATATTATTTCCTACAAACATCCTGGAACACAAAAGCTACGTCAAAGTGAAACTGCACCACCAACAATTCGGTATTAAACATTAAAATTTGTTTCAATAAAAATAAAAAACAACAAGAATAAAACCCTACAGGCATAAAAAAATATTCCTCTTTTTGTTTTCATGATACATTTCAAGTACACCAAGTTTAATTCACATCAAGTGTAGAACATCTCAAAGCAGAAGCACTAAATTCACTCACATCATAAGCTTGAGTTGAACTATTTGTTTGACATGGACACACTGTGCACTGCAGCTCTTTAGGGAAATTGATTCTCATGTATTTTGTGCAGAGATTCCTCCTCTGAATGTAAACTGAGCTCCTAGCTCGTCTTGAACTATTTACCGCAGCATGTTACCACAGACACACGTCCAAGTGATTGATCACATTCACGATAATAATATGAAATCAGTGCTGAGGCAGCACAGAATATTGCACGTTCAAACGTGAGACACAATTGTACTCTGTACAGTATGTACACAATATCTGTGTTCTGTGTCTCCAGAGGGAGTGTGCGTTATGCGAGGGGTTTCTCTCTCCCATCCACTGAGTCTGGTCAGGGTGGATCTATGTGGTTTTGGATGGGCTTTGTAGAGTTTCTTTGGGATTTTGAGTTTCAAGAATTGCACTTCACTTATTTTGTATCACTTAGCAGACTTTAAGAAAGATAAAAGACCCATCCAAAAGCCCTGAAACATGCAGTATGTTTAACTGGTACAATTATGTTTTTAGTCATATAGCTTTTTAAATGGTTTTTATGTTAATTGATTCCTGTAGTATTTTATTGCACTTTCATAACGCAATAAAATGTTCTTCAGAAATGTGTTCATCATCTAACGCTATCATTTGTTACAGGAATATTTAGCAGTCAGACATCTCCGATAATCTATATTGTACATCCCGTGGGAAAAAATCAGGAAGCTTGTCATTGCCAAATTAAAAGTCCTTCAAGGACTACAATTCCGAACCTTCAGTCCAAAACAACCACGCAGAAATAAATATCGCATTAAAAAGAGTTGAGCACTATTATTTACAAGTAAGTAAATGATCAACTTTAAATTCAATTCACATTTGAATGAAAATATTGAATCAATTTAGCTGTACTGTAATGGCTGAAGAAATTAATTTTAGAGTTTTGAACTACACTTGATGTTGTTACCAAAGGAATATTAAGAGTATTAACCCAATTATTCCACAGGATCATCACAAAAAAAAACATGCAAAAATTGTGCCTTTAGGTATGCAACAGCTTGTACCCTTATTGGGTCATCTTTGTACCTTATTTACCCCCAAAAGATGCATAGTAGTATCTTAAGTGTATATATTACTATTCTAAGGTACAAATACACACATTTTAAGGGTAGATAAAGTATAAATTGGTATTAAATATAATAAGTATTAAATCCTTTTAAGGGTACTGCCCCATCAACAAGCAGCTGTACACCCTAAAGGTACAATTTTTGCTTTTTTTTTCTGACAGTGCACAACAATAAGAAGGCTGATAGCCATAACAGCGCTAACACTTAAGAGAAACCTGTAGAGCACAAAATCTGTGAGGTTTTATCAGGGTTGCAGCAATTTCAAACACCAACAGCACTTCCACTGACACTAATGTGTCCATCTTCAAGCATTCTCGATGATCAAGGAATAATCCTAAATAACATTAGAAGGGTCTCCAAATTTGGAATAACTGATCCCTTTTATGATCTTGAATGACTGTTTTCTCTTTAATTGTCTGGATTTGAAGATGGATTTGTCTCCACAATGCATATTTTTGATGTATGTATTAAGTTCTAAAGGAGCTGAACTGGACCAGAGAAGGTTTGCCTCAAAGAAGATGTAGATGAACCCAGTGATGAAAACTCTCGGCCGGCTCTGACTCTCTCTCATTCTCCTTCTCTCTTGCCCTCAATCTCCATTCATCTCCATCACCTTTTCTGTGAGGATTTCCCGGAAAGTCGAAAGCTGCTTCATCTGCTCTGTCTGCATCGAGTGTCGTCTCATCAGTTTCTTCTTCATCTTGAAATCTGGTCCACGTTTTGGGGACGATGGCGCAACCGGCAGCAGGATCTTACTACCTGAGTGAACGGGAGAAGTGGGCTTTCCGTTGGCTCGGATATCAGGAATGGGTCGCTGAGGGTTGATGTTGAGAGGAGGAAGGAACCCAGGTCTTGTGTGGGAGATGTGGTCCAAAAGGAGAGTGCCTGATCCCCGCCGTTCCAACAGTCCTGTTGGACGCCGCCGCATTGGGATAGGAGACACCGAGTTGGGAATGCTCTCCAGAGACTCTCGAGAAGAGCTGGTGAGCAGCGACAAGGGAGAGGCATTGTACTTGCGGCGCTCCACTGAGACACGTCCAGAATCTGGAGATCCAGGAATGGAGGCAGGGCACAGGTGGGTGTCCGACTCGTAGTGTTCCATGCGGGTGAGTTTGGGGTGTGGCAAGCCACGGATTCCTGTCGGTGCCTGAGCCACACTGTCCTGAGTCTCAGGGGCCGTGTTTCGACGATACAATGACTGGTGCTGATGGACTTTATCCGCCCAGGAAGAGCCACACAGTGCTGCACAGTCTTCCGAACAGGTCCGGTCCATCAGCTTTGGAGAAGATGGGTCATGGGTCTCAATACTGTGCCTTCGGGACAGGAGAGGTCTGCCTGGACCAGAAATTGTCACCCCATTCATCTCCGAAACCAACTTGTCCTCCTCTGCTAAATCGCCCTCTATCCGCTCCGCTCTCTCAGCAAGTACAGAAGGAGCCACCAGGCCCCATGGTTCAGAGTTTAGTCTTTTCAGAAGCTTACGGGGCGTTGGTCTCCTCTCCCCTTGTGGTCTGCTGGAGGGTAGTGGGAGTGCTGAAGTCACGGCGAAGCTGAAGATACCTTCCTCCTCCTCCCCAGGGGCAGAGCCAGAGGTATGGATCTCCACCTCAGACGGAGACATGCAAGCAGGGGAGAGCTTGTCCACTATAGCCGGAGAAGGTGGGGAGTTCAGGTATTGTTTGGTCTTTTTAGTGCCAGAGGGGGATGTATCGGTAGTAATTATGATTACCTCTTTACCTTTGGCTTTGCAGGCATCCAGCAGGACCTGGAGAGTGTCCCTGTCACCCCTATTGATGGCGTGTACGAGTGACGAGGCCCCGGAGTAATCTTTCAAGCTGGGATCGGCGCCGTTTTCCAGCAGCAGTGACACCACCTCTTTGCCTGCCTGTTCTGCACACGCATGCATCAGGGCGGTCCGACCCGATTTGTCAGGGATGTTTGGGTCTGCTCCCTTCTCAAGCAGGTACCGCACCATTCTCTGCCGGGTCTGCGGATCATCGTACCCCGCCAGACAGGCAGCTATGACGGGCGTCTCCCCTCGCTCGTTCCCTTCATTGATATAGGCTCCGCCCTCCAGGAGGAGGCGAGCGAGGCGGAGTTTGCCTTGGAACACTGCCTTCAGAAGGGCATTCCCCTCCGTGTGCAAGAGCCCTCCATCCCCCATGATGTCTCGCTCTCCACCGCTAAAATCCCAGAACCCCTCTCCTCCTCCGGCCTCAGCACTGTTGGGACATCCTGGCTCAGACTCTGGCAAACCTGGAATGAAAACAAATAAAAGTGGTTTATCATGGGGGTTGTTTGACATTTGACTATTGCTAAAGAGCACTTCCAACTCCAAAATCACAGACACTGATCTGACACCAAGTTTCCACAAATTCAGTCAATCAGTCAGTCAGTCAGTCAGTCTGTCTGTCTTTCTATCTATCTATCCTTTCAAATGAGGCTTTGTCAAGCCAACATTTAAATATTTGACAAACTTTGCTTTTCTAGTTAACACTAAAAAAAATATTACATTCAAGGGCAATTATGCATCCTGTTTGCTACCTCAAAGTAAATTTAGTTGAAATTCAGGAATTTAACTGGAATTTACAGTTTTTCTCAGTTGCTTTGGTGCATTTCTCGAATCATCCTTAATATTTGCAAAGAAGTATGTACATTTCTCAGAACAATTTGTACAATCAGCACCACACAACGGATTACCTGTAAAAGACTGTAACTTACTCAAAATCTTTAGTTCATCTCTCAAAAGTAAGTATTTGTCAATGAACATATCAGTGCCATCAGAATGAAAAGTCCTTGTGTCATTGTTCACAAACAAGATAACTGCACTCTGTTTGTATTACCTGATGTAAACTATGGCAACAGTTTGGATGGCAGTTACTGTATTGAAATGCAGAAGGCTGCACTTCTTCTGCATGCCATATATCCATTTCAAAAGTACAAATTTACACACTACTGTATGTGAGGTATTGAAAGAGACTGGATAGGATTCACAGTACACTCTCATTGCGATATAGAAAAAAAATAAATATGGGTACAAAGGTGAAAATACAAAATTAGAAAGGCAAACACAGGAAACCCACCTCAGCCATTGTAAGCCATGACTGACAACATGGTCCACAATAGTGGCCCTTATTTCATCTGATATGCACCTACGTCCTTGGCCTCTTCTGCCTCTTCCTCTGTTTTGCCTCTGTACCCTTCCACCATGCATCCTTACCCCTATTCTTCCTCTCAGCTGTTGATCCTGATAATTTCCTAGATGTTCATCCATTGTCAGAATTTGTAACTCTTGTGTTGTCCTCTGTCTATATGCTTTCCAATTGAAGATTCATGAGTCAAGTCAAGTCAAGTCACCTTTATGTATATAGCGCTTTTAACAATACAGATTGTGTCAAAGCAACTGAACAGCATTAATTAGGAAAATAGTGTCAAGGTGAGACGCACCTTTGAGCTATTTCAGAGAACTGATTTATAATTGGTTGATCTACATTCTCTTCATTAGTGAAAGTCAAGATTCACCTTCACAATTCATGGCAAATTTACAAAAATTCTAATAGGAATGTGTAGAAAAAATATGCTTGACAGTTTATGACAACTAGATCAACCATTTTGCATTTAATTGCTACGATAACTAATGACTAGATGTTTTGATTGGTAAGACTTGCAAAAAGAACTATATAATACATTTTGAGTAACATGACATTAGCAACTGATAATGTAGGAAACCACAGACAAATATACATAATCAGTTGCATGAATGTACCAAAGCAATCGCAACTTGTTCAAAAGAATGAGAAACTGCTTTTATGATGTGCACAAGTGACTAGATGATGTGAAGGTTGAACAAGTAGTTTTGAGAATTTAATTTCTGATCTGAGAAATGCACCAAAGCGACTGAGAAACACTGTAACAGGAATTCTCAATTCAGTTCTAAATGGTGCACAACTCAAATCAATCAAACAAAGTCTGAAATCTAAAAGCACATTATTTTGATCAGATTCAAAACTTCATAATCCACAGCACACAAAACTCTCTAATTTCTCCATACTGTGTCACTAGTAACACTTAACTATGTACCCAATGCATTAACTAAAGTTAATGTATACAGCCTTATTGTAAGGTGTTGCCGTCTTACTCGGTTGTGTTCTGAACACAGTGTCTTGTGGATTGACACTCTGTACTACCCTCTACTCTTTAACACAGTCTTCTCTCCATCTTTTCGGTAATGAAGGCAGGAGAGAGATGATAATGGCAGTGCAGTAAAGAAAAGAAAATTGAATTCCTGAGTGGTGGAAAGAGCATCAAGACATGTGACAAGCTCAGTCAGCTCTGCAAACCTACAAATGATTTATGGCATGCATTCATCACACAGATACCAGGCATTTACTAACACAAAAATGATGTTGTTCGAAATTATTTTTCATTTGTTATCTGATGTATTGCAATTGCACGGTATGACAAATAAACCATATTTCCAATGTTTAACAATTTTTCTTGACAGTACAGGATGTTTTTTGGACTGAAAAAAAAAATGTTGTGCAAGCTAGTGATAGTGTGAAACATCATAATTTTAAGACCAATAAAAACTCCATACCTAAAATATCCCATGCACATTCACCCTCAACCAGAAACCTTCCCATTGTGCAATGCATGAGCTATATGGAACGTAGGGCCATTAGATCTTACACTAACTATCTTGGTAAGATGATTAGAGCAAACGACAGGGGGTGTGGCAGGAGGGCATCCAGTCCAATAATAGCATTATTAACATGCCAATGAGGAAAAAAAATTAACTTAAATGATTTTAGCAAATGGCTGCAATATAACAAAGAGTGAAAAATTTAAGGGGGTCTGAATACTTTCCGTACCCACTGTAAGTTGGCGGTCGATCATGTATCGTCACGGAGGGTTGTCAGGGAGGTTCAGCTATGGATGCTGGTGACGTTAAGAGAGTTATTATCTGCACAAGGTCAAAACTAAGATGTTATACTGTATTTTCTTGCTATTTATGTTCTTAATCCTTCACAGTCTGATTAACTGAAGGCAGTGAGACCTTTATTCTTTCATATATAATTTGTATGATTTATTCCAAATGGTCTTCCTCTCGCTGTGCTCCTGAGCACTGGTGATATAAAGCAGAGACCTATGCTGGCCCAGAACAACACATATAACAGCCCACTACAATGTATGTACACTACCATTCAAATGTTTGGGGTCAGTAAATTTTTAAAAAAGAAATTCATAATTTTATTTAGCAAGGATGCACTAAATTGATTTTAAAAAATACGGTATAGACAATTATAATGTTTAACAAATTTATCAAAGAACCCTGAAAAAAATGCATCACAGTTTTTACAGAAATATAAAGCAGCAACTGTTTTCAACATTGGTAATAATAGGTGTTGCTTGGGCAGCAAATCAGCATATTAGATTGATTTCTGAAGGATCATGTGACACTGAAGACTGGAGTAATGGCTACTGAAGATTCATCTTTGCATCCATACAATACTATTTCTGATCAAATAGATAAACTAAACCTTACCAACCCCAAACCTTTGAACAGTAGTGTATATGCAGTATATAATAAAATGTATTGCCTAATAAATTAACATTCTTTACACTGAATTTTAACTGTACTTTGATAGGCTTTAAATAACTGATATATAAAAACAGCACAATTATTTAAAAATACTTTTTTTTAATAATAACTATAATTCATTTGACTTGTATAGTATGGATTCCTAACCATATGTTCAGTCTCTAGGAAGTGATGTTTCCTGTGCTGCACCCAGTGCTGTTTTACTAAACATTGCCTATATCATCTGCATATGCCAGGATCTGTGGTTTAAAAGAGACGGCCTGAGGATGGAAAAATTAATTTTTCTTTTAAACCTTTTTATATGTACATTATATTTTAATTTGGCTTCAACAACCATCCCCAAAATCGACCAGTCCCCAAGAAGAAGTGTCTCAGTGCTCTCGGTAGCGATGTGAAGAACATTGGAAACGTCAAGAGTGTGTACAAGCTGTGTAGAATTCATATCCTCCTGAATCACACCAACACACCCCGAGCTGCTCCTCCTGCCTGCCTTCTTAAGGAATTCTCTGTGATTTCTGAGCCAGCTCAGCCCAGAATAGCAATAGGAATGCTGTTTTTGCATACTGATTATGGGGGGTGGAGAGGAACAGGAAGAAAAGAACTGTTCTTTGAAAATGTAATCACAAAAAAATCCATCTTTAAGAGACTGGGGTCTCCAGGATTTGAGACGGTGAGGTTAATCTCCTGTTTCACACACACGGGGCAGCATGGGTGACTCATCTCCATGATAGACTCACTAGAGAGATGTGGCAGGCATTGTCTCTCAGGAGATCATCCTGCTGAAACCCACAGGCCTCCTTGTATCCTGACCTGACATGTGCATTGTGACCAGCCTGTTCTAAATGCACCAGTCTAGAGAGAATTAAAGGGGGAAAAAAGGAAAGGGAGGGGGGGTCTTCATTTACGGTACGTTTACATGACAACGATGTACAAGAAATGGAAAAGCTTTTACTTTGCATTTTTGAAATGTTTAGATGACAACGTTGTCAAAACAATCCCAATTCAAACATATCTGTGAAAACAGCTAAAAAAAAGCTGTATTATGCATGCCAGGTCAGTAGTTGGCGATGTCACTTTGTAAAGAAACACTCACCTGCTCACATATGCATTCATATACAGTAGACTGAACACGTAATAGACATGTGCTGAAGCACAGTTTTTACAAATTTGCGTTTTTTTTAGTTTTCACGGAGACAATAACGGTATTCAAAAACTTGCACTTTGAAATCTGTTTTCAAAGGTTTGCATTTAAAGGCCCCCAAAACGCCATTGTTGTGTAAATGAATGGCCAAAACACAAAAAGTTTTACATTTTTTGTTGAAAACGGTGTCATTTAAACGCCCCTTACCCAACCTCATTTAAAACCTGTACTACTTTTTCTATAGAACATATTTAGAAAAATGTCTCAGTTTATTTATTTTATTTTATTTTATTTATTTATTGTGGTCCGTACAATGAAAGTCAGTATATCTAATATAGTTTGGACCCCAACATTCTTCAAAAAAAAATTCCAGCATACAGAAAGAAGGTCATATAGGTTTGGAACGACATAAGGGTGAATAAATGATGATGAATTTTTATTTCTGAGTGAACTATCCCTTTAAGGACATCAGCCAGGGCTTTTGTTCTAGTTATGCTGAGGACGCTGCATGACTTTGTATACTGCTAATATTGTTGGCTCTGTGACAAACTGCTTATGCTCCATATTGTAAGTCGCTAAGGATAAAAGCATCGGCCAAATGCATGAATGTTAATGTCAAGACCTTTATTTTGAAGTTTAATTCTATTGCTCTTGTCTGTGATCATAATTCACAGGTGGTCTTTGCTTAATCATAAGTCTGTGTAAAACATTCCTCATGTTTCCCTTAACTTTGGTCAAGTATTCAGTCTCACAGTGAAACTCACAATGTGTCATGATATTAAGCAAACATGAACATGTGTCATGAACCAAAGTGCAGTTTATTTTGTGTGTTTCATTTCAGTTTAGATACACAGTTCTAGACTGTAGACAGCTTTCTAGGTTTTAGAGCATCCGTTATGTATTGAAGGATGTCAGGATGACCAGTCAATATTTGGTGTATGTGTAAATATATCAGATATTGCCTACGCTATTTGAAGGAACGCATCCAATTTTAATCACTTGAAAAATGACAGAGAAGCAGACAGTCCAAAGATTGAATCTGACAGATAAATCGGATTTATGTGCCATCTGAACAAAGCCTTTGCCCTTCCCAGAATTCCCTATGGATCTTTGAGTGTGTACACATCAGCGTAGTGGAGAGCCATTCGACATGACCAAAATAAACTTGCCAATTTTGCAGCATGTTGAATAGCACTTGCAGAGGGTCTGGATTTCAGCGCCGCACCAGAGGAGGGAGGCGACATACCGAGCTGTCTTGTCGGGACAAATTGTATCTAATTCTTTATGCTTTCCCAACAGATGATGGAAATTAATATCATGTCTTCATTCTCACGCCTCTGAGAGCTCCCACCCCCTGGCTTTCTGTTTTACGTAACAGCAATGTGTGACTCAAGGCTACATCTGAGGTTGCGCGAGGGGGCCCGTGACCAGAAGGGGCTGCGCAGTCAAGCGTTATCGACCCACCGAGAGTGCCATGGTGCCTTTGAGCCGCTGTTTGCCTCATTAGATCACACGGATCGAGGCAGGTGCAATCACTTTTACAGCAGCTGAGGGAACAGCATCCATCAGTGGTGCACCGATGACCCTTTGACCCAGTCGTATCAGAACCGCTGAGGCAATTCATCACTCATTTTGGCAGCTTCAAAGAGAACCATCCTGCAGAGGGGCAATGAGATTATCTCCTTCATACTAAATGTCCTAAGCGTTCCTGACACGTCCTCTGAACTGCCGTGCATTTATTCCGTATTGTTTACTGTGGCATGTTTAGGTCCTGCTGCCATTTTCAATGCCACACATGTCATGCCAAGTTCATTTTTCTTCTACACTTGGTCTGTAATGAGATGAATGACAACTAAACCACTTGACTCGACTAGACTGAGTGTTCAGTGATTTACAGAGCTGAGAACGAATTCTCCATTTCGAGAGCAATCTGTATGCCTCCTTTCACATAAATGCACACAACCACATACCAATGTATTCTTCTCTGCCCTCGAACTGTAGATGTCAGAAATAAAATAAGGTTTTATGCAGACAGGAAAGAAACTTCATGTGATCAATGCAGAAATCCGATGATTCATATACTGTCCAACATATAGGGGATACATCATGCGTTTAGGATCCTTACATTTGTTTTTTTCCATTGTGATATTGTTTTAGGACAAATAAGCTAATTCAATGCATCGGATTATGTCTCTCTTACTGTTCCAATTACTTTTCCTTAATATTTTTCAATACTGTAAAATATTTTTACTGTCTTACAGTAAAAAATTGTTATACAATGCTTTTTTCAAAGAAAAAAAGGTAATTTAATAAAAAATAAAGATGATGCAACAAATAATCTACTAGTATGATGAATAAAAAAGTTTGTCGTACAGTAAACTTATTGTTCAATTATTTTATTTTATTGTAAAAAACTAATTGTGCAACAAATAATCTACTAGCATTATGAATAAATACTTAACACCTTTTTTCACATGGTATTAATAACTAAGTATTTTATACTACAATAATGAGAACTGGGATGTAAAATGTACTTAACTTTCAAGAAAATCAATAATCCAAATCGTTCTAAAAATAGGCTTCATTTTCTATATGCAAAATACAATTTATTTTGTGGAGTGAAGTATGACTGGGGCATGTTTTTGTATTTTTAGTGAGATTCTTCTACATACCTTATGTACTAAAAGAATGTATGTGGCATGGTGTACACCATGGTGGTTCAATAAACTCCAAGATTACCATGGTACATGTCCAAAAACATGGCATTGCCATTGCTATGTTCAAAAACCCTGTCAGCAGCATGTTCATTGCAGTACAATGGTATTATTTCCTTCTAATATAACCAGGTAAGAAAGCAAACAGCAACAATTATCATGTTTTGATTCTGCAAGTGGAAATATTAGCTACTCAAATCAAACGAGAAAATGCTGATTATGTGTCGCTGTCCGCGGTGCTGAATGTCATTCGCAAAACGGAGCAGATACCGATTTTGATGCGTTACAGACTCGATTCACAGCGCCAGCTGCAAATATCTTCAGCTCAGGACTATTTTTAGTCTTGAAGCATCAAAATTGGTGTCTATTCACGTCAGCTCTCTGCCTGACGCAAAGCTTCAGTGTCCACAAATGAACTTCCAAACAGCAGACACACACTTCAAGCCTCTGTTAGAGCAAACGTGCACCAATCACCACATAAACGCTCATATTTTCATTTTTCAGTTTTTGTGAAGTGAGAAAACGATATCACAGCAGCATTAATATCAGTCTTAAATCGTCTACTTTAGACATCCAGCAAATCTTCAGAGATCTTTTTAAGAAGCGTCTTAAGGAAATGCCAGCAGACATTCAGTGCAACTGAGAATCCGAACTGCGGCGCATGAATTCGCAACGAACGCTCATAAAGCCTCATGAACAGCTGTTCCTCCAATGCACATCGTTCCTCCAATAAAACATTTGCTTTTAGCTTCAACAACTCACACCTAAAATAAGTAGCCAGCAACCATTTCTGATCAGCGCACATGCCAACAGAAAATCGCTAGCATGCTTCGCAACATCGAAAGACTCGAAAATAGTAGTTTGCAATGTAAATAATAAGAAAGACCGTGCAAGGGAATATTAAGATATCGCTTCAATATGAAGGACTGAAGTCTGCTGAATTAAGACCACGCTCAGTTGAGAATAATACAAAATTAAAATTAAATAATAATAAATGTTCTCTTAAACATGACGAGCATTTTGAAAGCAACATTTGCAGGAGAGTATCTTGACAGAGTCTCACCGTGTATCTGCTGTCTTCACTCCATCAGAGCGGCTGATTTTAGCATGAGAATCCAGCTGCTGTCTGCTGATCCCCCACATCACCTCTCCTCCTGCGACCGAGAGTTTGGGAGACTCTGCGGGGGCGTGGAGTGGGCAGTGAGCTGATGCGAGGCTCCCACGATCACGCACAGACGCACTGAGGTCCAGCTTCACCGAGCAAACACTGACTGACGGACTTACTGACTGTTCACATGCACATGACCATCTCTGCTTTCCACTAGGGGGAAACTTATCCGATTATTTCAATTCTTTGATCATTTTAAGTTTATCATTGTATGATTCGCTGATTTTTTTATGCACCCCTGCATTTGTGTGCCATAGTGTGCTGTTTCTCACAAGTAGATGTAGAGAATTTGATGCAGAACATTTAAATGAGTTTACATTATTAATAATAATAATAATAATAATAACAGTTTTGTCTAAGAAATAGACAAAATTTAGCTTGTTGTGATTTGATGCATGATAACATTTAAGCAATGTGTGTATGCTTTACATAGCCAAGTTAAGGCTGCTCTGAGCAGGCTCTGTGCCTGCTCTAAATTCTGCGTAAAGACGCAATGGTGCATTAAACCCATGCAAAATATAAAATATGCCAGCCTTGACCCACTTAAGCATCCAGTGATGAATGTAAATGATGCATTGGTGCAGCCTGTTGTTGTCATGACAGAGAATGTTCTATATTCAGAATTTAATTTTTGAAGTACTTTAATAACATACTTGCGCAATCTGTGTAAATGCATGTATGCAGCCTCTATGCCGGCTTTGCAAAGTAAAGACAGCGTGTATTAGGTCAATTTAACGTTTAAGCTAAAATGCACTTAACACACATTTACAGAGGAGCATATTCTCCCTCAACATAAATCTGGATTTTTGCTTGACTTTTTTTTTTCTTTTTTTGGGGCTAAATATATATCAAGGCCCTCTCTGCAAGAAAGCAGGGGGTGTGAAACAATTCAAGCATCCAGTGATGAATGTAAATGATGCATTGGTGCAGCCTGTTGTTGTCATGACAGAGAATGTTCTATATTCAGAATTTAATTTTTGAAGTACTTTAATAACATACTTGCGCAATCTGTGTAAATGCATGTATGCAGCCTCTATGCCGGCTTTGCAAAGTAAAGACAGCGTGTATTAGGTCAATTTAACGTTTAAGCTAAAATGCACTTAACACACATTTACAGAGGAGCATATTCTCCCTCAACATAAATCTGGATTTTTGCTTGACTTTTTTTTCTTTTTTGGGGGGCTAAATATATATCAAGGCCCTCTTTGCAAGAAAGCAGGGGGTGTGAAACAATTCTCAGACTGCATAAATACTAATTAAGTGACTATAGCTATTATTGAACACAGTTTCTATGGCAACTGATTCAGTGGATTCCGACAGAAGCGTTCCCACGGTGACATGCACATGCTGCAGGAGAGAGAGAGAGAGAGAGAGAGGTTATAGTAGTGAATGTACTCTTGCTCTCCGTGTTTAGATTTAAATTATAGTTTGAATGTTATGTCCCAATACTTCAATTAATGTTTTATGTTATGTTTTGTTTAAATGAGATTACCTTATTAAAATCAGCACATGCCTAATTTCTGTCTCTCATACTCACACATATTTTCTGATTTTGACGGGGGAGGCTGTGAGTCAGCAATATCACGGTTAGTTTTCCTTTCATTATTTTTCTCTTTTTTTAACAAATGCAGATTTAGTTGAATTTCAACTGTTCTCAGGTTTTCCAGAAAAGCATTTCAGTGCTGTGAGCAGCTTCATCTGAACAGATGGGAATGGAACTGCAGTGATAAATTATGGGTGCTTTTGGACTTTTAGAAAATTTAAACTTAAAAAACAACAACTTTTTTTTCACTCTCATTATTTTATAACTTTTGTCTGTAACAAAGTCAAATCATGGACACACATGCATCACAGAATTGTGTGATTTTTCTGAAATGTCATAAATATTTGATATGTGATGGGAATGTTTGTGTTTGATACTATTCTAAAATGACATTTTAAACATTTAAATAATATTTTCACACTTTTTCTTCACAATTTGACAAAATTATAGCTTGATGCACAATAAAATATTCACCCTCATTTTTCTTTACACATTACATGTCAAATCAATCATGATCTTCCCCGACGCTTGTGTGTTTAACTTTTGTACACTAACTTTTGAGAAAACTTTATAATGAGGCAAACTGTTAATTTAATTAAATTACATTTAACCGTGGGACAGTCATAGTTTTCGGATGAAAAAAAGCAATTTCACCAAGTTTCATAGTAAATAATTACAAAATTTTAGATCACAGTTTCAAACGTAATAATTTATTTATTGATTTATTTATTATTTATTTATTATTTATTATCATCCCTTGGGACATAATATACATTTTAAAAATCATATTTTTGCATTTGATCCTCCATCAGAGAAGTTCAAATAAACCTTTTTGATTATTATTTATTTGTTAGTTCAGCATGACTCACTTTATTTAGGATTAATTCAATTTAACAGCAGACAGAAGCGGAACCATAAGTGAACGCGCGCTCGTTTCTGGCAGGAACATTTTCAGCAGCGGGCGAAAACAAATGTGCAGATGTTTGGCGGGTGATTTTACTGCTCAGTTCTACATCAGTAAAATCTGAATTTCCATGAAAACCAACTGCGTGTAATATTTACGGATTATCCAATAAATGCTTTGCACAATGAAATTAAGTTTTAAATAGAGAGGGATTTGGGCGGAACTTTGTCTGTGAGTGAACGAGGCGTTTAAATATTACATTTCGGTTTAAACAAATACATAATAAAAAAAAATACACATCACATATATATTTAGTAAATGGTGAAAAATATTTACATCAGTTTGGTCTAAATGTCTATTTTTGTAGCGGAATTGAACTGCGTGAGTCATATGATTGAAATGATTTGACCGTGGGACAGTCATAGTTTTCGGATGAAAAAAAGCAATTTCACCAAGTTTCATAGTAAATAATTACAAAATTTTAGATCACAGTTTCAAACGTAATAATTTATTTATTGATTTATTTATTATTTATTTTTTTAGTTTTAATACAAATCATCCCTTGGGACATAATATACATTTTAAAAATCATATTTTTGCATTTGATCCTCCATCAGAGCAGTTCAAATAAACCTTTTTGATTATTATTTATTTGCTAGTTCTGCATGACTCACTTTATTTAGGATTAATTCAATTTAACAGCAGACAGAAGCGGAACCATAAGTGAACGCGCGCTCGTTTCTGGCAGGAACATTTTCAGCAGCGGGCGAAAACAAATGTGCAGATGTTTGGCGGGTGATTTTACTGCTCAGTTCTACATCAGTAAAATCTGAATTTCCATGAAAACCAACTGCGTGTAATATTTACGGATTATCCAATAAATGCTTTGCACAATGAAATTAAGTTTTAAATAGAGAGGGATTTGGGCGGAACTTTGTCTGTGAGTGAACGAGGCGTTTAAATATTACATTTCGGTTTAAACAAATACATAATAAAAAAAAATACACATCACATATATATTTAGTAAATGGTGAAAAATATTTACATCAGTTTGGTCTAAATGTCTATTTTTGTAGCGGAATTGAACTGCGTGAGTCATATGATTGAAATGAAATAAATAAATCTGTTAATAATGTGATATGTGGTGATTGTGTCTCAGATAATGGCAGGAAGGGGCAGAGGGCACCGCACTTTCTCTGTGGAGATTGTTGGGATCGGTAAAGGAGAAAGTCTCCCTCCATCCTCCGTCCAGCCGACCCCTCTATTCCCTGTGAGTGTTTCAAGATAGAATAAAGCCTCATCGGACTGATACTCATCATATTACATTACATCAATGCACTTGGCAGACGATTTTATCCTAAGCGACTTATATTGTATTCATTGTACTCGCATTACTTGAGAGTCGAACCCAGGACTTTGGCGTTGCTGGCATCATGCGCTACTGTTGGAGCTACAGAAACCTCAGCTAATGACATCCTCTCCTGTTCAACTGTCAGATGTAGAGTGGCCCCAAAAACTGTAAAACAAATACAAAAAATGTCTGAATGTCATCACAACGAATTATTAAAGTGGCATTTATTTTAAAGAATTTGTTCACTTCCAGAATAAAAATGTCCTGATAATTTACATCCAAGATGTTCATGTCTTTCTGTCTTTAGTCGCAAAGAAATTAAGGTCGACTTCGATGGTGGCCAACGGGCTGAAGGTCAAATTGGCATTTCAATGCAGCTTCACGATCCCAGCCGAGGAATAAGGGTCATTTTCTAAAAAAAATAAAAATGTATATACTTTTTAACCACAAATGCACGATGTGCGTCTGCAAATTCACGCATTATGCAATCACATTGGAAAGGCCACGCACGGTTAGCTCTTCGTCTGTGTACTCTGGTTCAGAAAGGTAGAGTAGGGCAAAAAACTCCATCTCATTTTCTCCTCCAACTTCAAAATTTACCAACATCGTTGTTTTAACTTTTTTTAAAGGGTGCTTGACTTTCTTTGCACGTTCGCTTTGTAAACACTGGGTCGGTGCTTCCGCCTACGTCACGCGTGATCTTTCCAACGTGACTACATAATGCGTGAAGTTGGGTTTTTCACTTACAACATATCATTTCATAAGGAATTTTATTTGATTAATTTGTTACTTTTGTTAGCAAAGTTTAGTATACATAAATGCAAGTATGCTGATTATAAACCATTATTTTTCATTTTGAAATCAGAAGTTAAACAACACCTAAAATCTATTTATAATCTGATAAACAAGAGAGCTGTTAAGTGTATTAATGCATGCAAGCAATTCCATGTTTTTATTTAATTCGTTTTTTTGTTTTAGTTTTTTCCTTGTCTTCACCCCCTGGCTAATGTAAAATGTTGAATGTGAATATTTCAATAAAATAAAAAAACAATGCGTGAAGTCGATAAATAAATAAATGTATTTATTTATTTTAAAGAAAATGACCTATCCTATCGTTGGATAAGACCCTTATTCCTCGGCTGGGATCGTGTAGAGCCCTATGATCCTGCATTGAAACTGCAATTGGACCTTCAACCGTTGGCCACCATTGAAGTCCACTATATGGAGAAAAATCCTGGTATGTTTTCCTCAAAAACCTTCATTTCTTTGCGACTGAAGAAAGAAAGACATGAGCTATCAGGAAATTTTTATTCTGGAAGTGAACTAATCCTTTA